AAACGTCTTTCTTCATGAGTTCATGAGTTCTCGTAATTTACCTCCCACTTTTTTTTTTTTTTTTTGAGATGGAGTCTCACTCTGTTACCCAGGCTGGAGTGCAGTGGCGTGATCTCGGCTCACTGCAACCTCTGCCTCCTGGGTTCAAGCAATTCTCCTGCCTCAGCCTCCAGAGTAGCTGGGATTACAGGTGTCCACCACCACACCAAGCTAATTTTGTATTTTTAGTAGAGAAGGGATTTCCCCATGTTGGCCAAGCTGGTCTCAAACTCCTGGCCTCCGGTGGTGATCCTCCTGCCTTGGCCTCTCAAAGTGCTGGGATTACAGGGGTGAGTCACGGTGCCCGGCCTACCTCCCACTTTTCAGTGAGACCATGCGGTATTGGGTTTTCTGTTCCTGTGTTAGTTTGCTAAAGATAATGTCCTCCAGCTTCATCCATGTCTTTGCAAATGATGTGATCTCATTCTTTTATGCTTAAATAATATTCCATGGTGGGCATGTACCACATTTTTTCTTTCCTTTTTTTTTTTTACCTGCACATCACTCCTTTATTATAGTGATCTGGGAAAAGCATTTAGTACAGTTATGCTCAGATGAACACTGGACCCATGTGGCAGGGCCAAGCAACTAGAACATGATTCAGAAATCAGTGAAAGACACACTTGGACAGGACCAACGGGCATTTCACTGCCACAAAACAGGGCAGGAAGGGATTCTAACACACACAGCAGGAAGCACCCCTGCCCCTCAGAGGTCAAGGAACTGATCCCATACTGGTATGAGGAATGGCTTATTTTCTGATGACCACATGGGGGACTATTTCAACCGCCACAAGAAACCCCAGAAGGGTTATTGTTTTGCATTAATTATATATACTTTTTTTTGTAATAAAAGTAAATGTAACACATAACTAAATTCAGGATTGATCCCAAACTTCTAGAGCCAGATCCTCTGGTGTCAGTGAGGAAACAGTTGCCATATCACCATGCAGGTTACATTCATCTTCCACTGGAATGACTAGAGTCCCCAGGCAGTGGCCTGACGGCAGAAGAGCAGAGGACTGGCTCCTGGGGACAGACAGGCTCTGTTGCTTCTCCTCATTGGTCATGGCTTAGCATGGTTCCTCCCCACAAGTCCTTAGTAAACAAAGAACTCGCAAAAACCCAAGTTACTACCTTTAAACTCTGTTGGATAAGGGGAGCTTTTCCAGAGCTTGGACTGAGAACCTATGCTCTAGAAGTGCCGTTCTGACTAGATTGTATGAAGGGAGTGGGTGCAGGAGACAAAAAGGCTAAAATGCAAATGGGAGCCACTGGTCCCCATCTGCAGCTACAACTCAAGATGTCTACAGATGTGGTCAGTGTGACATGTGCAGGTGGGAGGGGCAGAGGGACAAGACAGGCAGGAAGGGTGCCCCTGGGGACAGTGTCCTCCCCGCTGGCCTTCACTTCTTGGCCTTGCCCTGGGCGGCCACAGCTTCCATGGCTTTGCCCACCATCTCCTCATCCCCCAGGAACTGCATGGGCTTGATAGGCTTCAAGTTCTTGTCCAATTCATAGACATTGGGAATACCAGTCGGCAGGTTCAGCTCCATGATAGCCTCTTTAGAGAGACCCTCTAGATGCTTGACAATGCCCCGGAGGCTGTTGCCGTGGGCTGCAATCAGTACACATTTCCCCTCCTTGATCTGGGGAACTATTTCTTTATTCCAGAAGGTCAGAGCTCTGGCAATAGTGTCCTTCAGACTCTCACAGGAGGGTAGCTGATCTTTTGTGAGGTCTGCATACCTGCGATCCTTACTGATGTTGCTGTAGAAGGGGTAGTCCGGCTCCATCAGAGGTGGTGGGACATCATAGGACCGCCTCCAGATCTTCACCTGGGCCTCACCATGCTTTGCAGCAGTTTCTGCTTTATTGAGACCGGTTAGACCCCCATAGTGCTGCTCCTAGAGGCGCCAGGTCCTCACCACTGGCAGCCACATCTGATCAATGGCATCTAGCACTGTCCAGAGGGTCCGGATCGCTCTCTTCTGCACTGGGGTGAAGCAGATGTCAAACTCATAGCCAGCATCTCGTAGAGCCTGCCCGCCGCGCTTCGCTTCCTCGGGGCCCGCCGGGCTCAGGTCAGTGTGGTACCAGCCGCTGAGGCGGTTCTCCAGGTTCCATGCGCTCTCGCCGTGCCAGATGAGCACCAGTTCCTAGGTGGCCATGGCGGCGGGCTGGGGATGCGGCCTGTACCACATTTTTAGTATCCAATGTCATTGATGAACATTTAGGTTGATTCCACATCTTTACCATTGTGAGTAGTGCTGCAATGAACATTCACATGCGTGTGTCTTTATGGTAGAATAATGTATATTCCTCTGGGTATATACCCAGTAATGGGATCGCTGTGTCAAATGGTGGTTCTGCTTTTAACTCTTTCAGGAATTGCGATACAGCTTTCCACAATGATTGAACTAATTTACACTTTCACTAACAGTGTATAAGTGTTTCCCTTTTCTCCACAACTTCACCAGCATCTGTTATTTTTTTTAACCTTTTAATAGTAACTAGCCATTCTGAATGGTGTGAGATGGCGTCTCATTGTGGTTTTGATTTGCATTTCTCTAATGATCAGTGATATTGAGCTTTTTATCATATGCTTCTTGGCCGCATGTGTGTCTTTTTTTGTTGTTGTTTTTTGAGACAGAGTCTCGTTCTGTCACCCAGGCTGGAGTGCAGTGGTGCGATCTTGGCTAACCGCAACCTCCGCCTCCCAGGTTCAAGTGATTCTCCTGCTTCAGCTTCCCGAGTAGCTGGGACTACAGGCACATGCCACCAAGCCCAGCTAATTTTTTGTACTTTTAGTAGAGACGGGGTTTCACTGTGTTAGCCAGGCAGGTCTTGATCTCCTGAACTCGTGATCTGCCTGCCTTGGCCTCCCAAAGTACTGGGATTACAGGCATGAGGTGGCACCCAGCCCGTATGTCTTCATTTCAAAAATGTCTGTTCATATCCTTTACCACTTTTTAATGGAGTTGTTTTTCTCTTGCAAATTCATTTGAGTTCCTTACAGATGCTTGTAGATCTTAGTCAGATGCATATTTTGTCTTTATTGTTGTTCTACAGCTTTCTTAGGCATATAATTTTTGATTGACAGTTTTTTCTTTGGGGAGTGGGAAAAAAGTTTCAAATGGAGTTGAAAGACTTGCAAGAAGGCAAACAAATCAAGTTCCAACAAAGCCAACTGGATTGAGAAATGAAGTCATATTGATTGCAACAAATGATATGTTGGACTGGTTAGAGGGAGCAGGAAAAAGTAAATTTGTGGACAATAGAAGTCTGTGGGCTGGGTAGCCCTGACTGAGGTCAAATGGAGAAATTTCACCAGAATAGGAAAGGTAGCACATTATGCTGAACCTAAAAAGGCTGAGCTGCTGCCCTATGCTAAGATTCATAGATTTATAAGAAGAAATATCATGATGTTATCATCTAACAATTTAATAGGTATTATTTGTTAAGGAAGAGGATCATATATGTGTAGTCATAATTATGGTTAAGTTAATGTTATGTTTAGTTATGATTAAAATTGTGTTTGATGGATATTACAAGGGCCAAAAATAAGTGGCTACTGCTAACAAGTGGGTGCTTGACTGATAAATGTGTGAAATCAAACACTTCTGTGAATAGAAGCAGCAGAGGAGACTGAAGAATGAGGGGTGGAACACAACAGCAGGATAGCTTGATACTTTACATCGAAGTAAGATCTCGGCGGGGCGCAGTGGCTCACGCCTGTAATCCCAACACTTTGGGAGGCCGAGGCAGGCAAATCACGAGGTCAGGAGTTTGAGACCAGCCTGACCAACATGGTGAAACCCCATCTCTACCCAAAACAAAAATTTGCTATATTATTTTAGCCCAGCTAACTTTTTGTATTTTTAGTACAGATGGGATTTCACCATGTTAGCCAGGATGGTCTCGATCTCCTGACCTCATGATCCGCCCGCCTCAGCCTCCCAAAGTGCTGGGATTACAGGCGTGAGCCACCATGTTTGGCCGAGCTGGGACCATTTTTAAGTGATACATTAAGAAAGGTTCAGAAAAGCAAGATAAAACCTTCCAAAGATGTTCACATACTAATTCCCTAGATACTGGGAATACGTTAAATTCTATGGCAAAGAAAAGATAAGATTGCAGATGTGATTGCTAGTCTGCTGTTGAAACATAGTGAAATTTTCACAAATTATCACCATGGGTCCAGTATAATCACAAGGGTCCAGAAATGTGGAAGAGTGATGGAGAACAGAATGTATCAAAGGGATGAGATGTGAGAATGACTCAGCCGAATAGCTTTTCAATTGCTTGCTTTAGTGATTCTTTTCATATTAGAATAAATTTTCATTTAATTTAAATGCATAAATACCTTTGAGTAATTTTATTTGTTTTTGTATTTGTTATAAGATAGGGTCTCACTCCATTGCCCAGGTTGGAATGCAGTAGTGCAATCATGGCTCACTGCAGCCTTGACCTCCTGGGCTCAAGCAATCTTCCCACCTCAGCCTCCTGGGTAGCTTGTACTACAGGTGCATGCCACAACGTCTCACTAACTTTTTAATTTTTTTGTAGAGATGGCACCTCACTATGTTGCCAGGCTGGTCTTGAACTTCTGGCCTCAAGCAATCTTCCCACCTCAGTCTCCAAAAGTACTGGGATTACAAGCATGAGCCACTGTGCCTGGCCCTTTTTCTGAGTCATTTTGTTTGTCCATCACTGTTCTGGGTGCTAAATGTGATAGGAGAGAATGCAGAACAATAAGGATCTGACTTCTAAAAAGTGAGGCTCAGGTCTAGTGGGAGTACAGGCACTGTGCACTGTATGATTGTAGAAGTCTTATTGTTTTACAAAGATAAATGATTTGGTGTGGAAAAGAATGCAGAAGCTAGATTCCCAAGAATTCATATGCAGGCTTAACAAAGAATAAGTGGGGAAAAAGATAATGATGGTAACAATTTTGAACACTGAACAGCAAATGTTGATAAAATGGGATCTATTGTTTCTTTTATTCCAGATATAGAAAGTATGTTTCCTCTATGCCATTAAGATGAAAATGCTTTCTACTTATGTTATCGTCAAAAATGCCTTTGTTTTTCAAGCTAGCATTGGATTCTCAGTCAACACCTTTCTCCTTTTCTTCCACATCCCTTACGCTCTTCTGAATTGCAGGCCTAAACCCCATGACTTACTCACCTGTCACCTGGCCCTCATTCACATTCGGATGCTCCTCACTTCAGTGGATTTTTTGCCTCTAGACATGTTTGAATCACTGCATTTTGGGAATGACTTTAAGTGTAAGGCACCTTTTTACACAAACAGGGCAAAGAGGGGCCTCTCCATCTGCACCATCTGCCTTCTGAACACGCTCCAGGCCGTCAGCCTCAGCCCCAGCACCTCCTGGTTGGCAAGGTTTAAACATAAATCCACAAATTACATTATGTATGTTTTCTTTTTTTGGGTGTTCTTCAATTTGTCCTTCAGTAGTTGGCTAATATTTTTCTCTGTGCATTCTTCCAACACGACCCATATCAAGCTACTGAATGTCAGTAAATACTGCTCACTTTCCCCCATGAACTCCATAATCAGGGGAGTGTTTTTCACTGTGACATTGTCCAAGGATGTCCTGTGTAGTACTTATGCTGCTCTCGAGTGCATACATGGTGATTCTCCTGTCCAGGCATTGGAGGCAATCCCAGCACCTCCACAGCACCCACCTCTCCAAGACCCTCCCCAGAGAAAAGGGCCACCCAGACCATCCTGCTGCTGGTGAGTTTCTTTGTGGTCATGCACTGGGTGGACTTTGTCTTCTCAATCTTTTTAACCTTGCTATGGACGTATGACCCATACCTTGTCCTGAGCGTGCAGGGAGCTGTGCTCAATGCCTATGCCACTATTAGTCCTTTGGTGCAAATCAGTTCCGATAAAACAATAATCAATATTATGCAAAATTGCAATAGAAATACCATCAATTTTTAATAAGTCAGCGATGAAAAATGTTTTCTGAGAAAAGAGTCTTCGGCCATCAGTCAAACTGTTTAAGTACCACTGAAATATTTAAATTTGATTTAAGTGAAATATAAAGAATTACACTTTTATTATATCTAAATACTTTTGAAACCTATTCTACCAAGGAATTTTTAGTTTCTTTAGTTCAGTGTCTACCACAGTTGATATCCCCATATTAAGTCTCTTACTCTTTTTCATTTTAATTTAATACCAGAAAATGTTTCTTTCTTCTTGAAGTGTACCCTAAAGAAGCTCCTATTGGTAATAAAATCTCTCAAAATTTTCACTTTGGAAAATATTTTAATTTACTCTTATTTATCAAAAGTATTTTAGGCCAGGTACAGTGGCTCACACCTGTAATCCCAGCAATTTGGGGGCTGAGCTGGGAGGATTGCTTGAGGGCTAGAGTTTGAGATCAACCTGGGCAACATAGTAAGATAGTAAGATCTCACCTCTACAAAAATAAATTTTTAAAAATTAGCCAAGCATGATGGTGAGTGCCTGTAACGCCAGCTACTCAGGAGGCTGAGGTGAGAGGATTCCTTGAGCCCCAGAAGTTGAGGTTGCAGGGAGCTGTGGTTGCACCACTGGCTTCAATCTGGGTGACAGAGCAAGACCTCATCTCTAAAAAGAATTTTAAAATGAACAATGAATTAAAATTAAACATTTTAGCTAAATATTCAATTCTAGCTTTAAATCATGCTTCTTTGAAAAAACCTTTTTGTCTCTGTAAAAATTATGCCAATTTACAAAGACTTCATGACTAAAACACCAAAAGCAATTTCAACAAAAGCCAAAATTGACAAGTGCTGCACAGCAAAAGAAACTATCATCAGAGTGAATAGGTAACCTACAGTATGGGAGAAAATTTTTGTAGTCTATCCATTTGACAAAAGTCTGATATCCAGAATCTACAAGGAACTTAAACAAATTTACAAGAAAAAAAAAACACACAATCCCATCAAAAAGTGGGCAAAGGATATGAACAGACACTTCTCAAAAGAAGACATTTTTGTGGCCAACAAACATATGAGAAACAGCTCATCGTCACTGGGCATTAGAGAAATGCAAATCAAAACCACAATGAGATACCATCTCATGCCAGTTAGAATGGCAGTCACTAAAAAGCCAGGAAACAACAGATGCTGGCAAGGATGTGGAGAAATAGGAACACTTTTACACGGTTGGTGGGAGTGTAAATTAGTTCAATCATTGTGGAAGACAGTGTGGTGATTCCTTAAGGATCTAGAACCAGAAATACCATTTGACCCAGCAATCCCATTAGATTGTGGTATGGCTGCAATACTAGGCAGTCATAAAAAGAATGAGTTCATATCCTTTGCAGGGACACGGATGAAGCTGGAAACCATCATCCTCAGTAAACTAACACAGAAACAGAAAACCAAACACTGCATGATCTCACTCATAGGTAGGAGCTGAACACTGAGAACACAAGGACACAGGGAGGGGAACATCACATACTGGGGCCTGTTGCGGGGTGGAGGGCAAGGGGAGGGAGAGCATTAGGACAAATACCTAATGCATGCAGGGCTTAAAACCTAGATGATGGGTTGATAGATGCAACAAACCACCATGGCACATGTAACAAACCTGCACGTTGTGCATATGTATCCAGAACTTAAAGTAAAATTTTAAAAAATTATACCAAATTAGATTTTAAATTTAATCTAAAAGTTATTTTAAATGGTCTTAAATAAAATTTACATATGACTAGATATTAGTTTGGTTATACAACCTTTTCCCACCTTTTTTGGAGTATGATTGACAAATAGAAACTGTATTTAAAGTGTAAAAACTAAAATACGTGTTTTGATATATTTATATATTATGAAATTATTACCACAACAAAGCTAATGAACATATCTGTCATGTCACATAGTTACTATATTTTAGTGTGGTAAGTTCATTTGAGATCCATTTTTCTTAACAAAGTTCAAGTATACAAGATGTAATTATTAAGTATAGTCATGATGCTGCACATTGGGTCTCTAGTGTTTATTTATCTTGTGACAACAAGGTTGTACCCTTTGACCAATATCTCTTGTTTTTTCCCAATCCCTCAGCCCCAGGTCACCACCATTCTGCTCTCAGTAACTATGAGTTCTACTCTTTTTAGATTCCTCATAAAATGAGTTCACACAAAATTTGTATTTTTATGTCTGCCTTATTTCACTTAGCATAATGTCTTCAAAGTTCATCTATGTTGTTGCAAATGGCAGGATTTTCTTTCTTAGGGCTGAATAGTATTTCATTTGATAGACAAATAGATATATTAATAGATATTTCATATATTCTTTATCCATTTATCTGTTGATAGACATCTAGGTTGTTTTTATATCTTGTCTATTGTGTGAAATGCTGTGATGAGTATAGGAGTGCAGATATCTCTTCAAGATAGCAGTTTTATTCCCTTTGGACATTGTTAATGGTTTGAGTGTTTGTCCCCTCCAAAACTCACGTTGAAATTTGGTTGTGGCAAATGTGGTTGTGAGGTAATAGGGCCATGAAAGCTCTGTCCTCACAGTTGGGTTTAATGTCACTATCATAGGGTTAGTTTGGTGCCTTGTGCCTTTGCTTTTCTGCCACATGATGGTGTAGCAAGAAGGCCCTCACCAGATGCCACCACCTTGATCTTGCACTTCCCAGCCTCCAGAAGTGTGAGAAAATAAATATCTATGTATTATAAATTACCCAGCCTCAAGTGTTCTGTCATAGAAGCACAAAATGAACCAAGGCAGATAAATACCCAGAAGTGGGATTGCTGGATCATGTGGCAGTTCTAGTTTTAATTTTTTGAGAAAACTCCATATTGTTTTCCATTTTGGCTTTATCCATTTACATTCCCACTAACAGTGTGCAAGAGTTCTCCCTTCTCCATATCATCATTAGCACTCATTATCTTTTGACTTCTTAATAAATACTATTCTGACAAGCCTGTGTGAGGTAATAGCTCATTGCAGTTCTGATGTGCATTTCCTGATTATTTGGGATGCTAAGCATCTTTTCAAATGCTTGTTGGCCATTGTACAACTTCTTTGGAAAAATATCTGTTCAGGTCCTGGGTTATTTACTTATTGATGTTCAGTTTTAAGAATTCCTTACATATAATCTCATTCTCAGATATACTGTTACAGAATTTTTCTCCAATTATACAGACTGACTTTTAGTTTTGTTGATTGTTTTCTTTTGCTATGAGAAACATTTTAGTGAACGTGGTCCCACTTGATTGTTTTTTCTTATATTGCATGGATTTTTGATGTCAAATTCAAAAATTCATTGCTGAGACCAATGTCAAAGCCATCATTCTCAGCAAACTAACACAGAAACAGAAAACCAAACACTGCATGTTCTCATTCATAAGTGAGAGTTGAACAATGAGAACACATGGACACAGGAAGGGGAACATCATACACCACAGCCTGTTAGGGGGTGGGAGGCAAAGGGAAGGAGAGCATTAGGACAAATACCCAGACTTAAAGCCTAGATGACAGGTCGATAGGTGCAGCAAACCACCATGGCACATGTATATCTATGTAACAAACCTGCACATTCTGCACATGTATCCCAGAACTTAAAGTAAAATTTTAAAAAAAGAAACTTTTCCCCAATGTTTTCTTCTAGAAGTTTTATGATTTCAGATGCTATGTTTAAGTTTTCACCCAATAGATACAATTGTATTTTGCCAACTACAAAAAAGGTGGAAAAAATATTTTCTCAAGAGATATAGAATTGTAGAGACAAACTCCTGAAGTTGTTTACATCAATGCTAGGAAATGACAAGTGAAAAAGTTTATGATTTAACCAAATAGTATATTTCATAGCCGGATGTGAGGTTTTCCTTCGGGAACCTCTGATTGTACCACCCTGCCAGTGGGACTACTAAAGAGAATGCTGGCTATTAGAAAACAAACTGCAGGCCGGGCACAGTGGCTCACACCTGTAATCCCAGCACTTTGGGAGGCTGAGGCGGGTGGAACCTGAGTTCAGGAGTTCGAGAGCAGCCTGGCCAATGTGGTGAAACTCCACCTCTAATAAAAATGCAAAAATTAGCCAGGCGTGGTGGTGGGCACTTGTAATCCTAGCTACTCAGGAGGCTGAAGTAAGAGAATTGCTCGAATTCGGGAGGTTGGAGGCTGCAGTGAGCCGAGATCGTGCCACTGCACTCCAGCCTGGGCAACAGAGTGAGACCCCATTTCAAAAAAAAAAAAAAAAAAAAAGAAAAGAAAGAAGAAAACAAGCTGCACAGAGGACAGAAAGTATGTAAGCGTCCACAAAACCCATCTAGGACCAATCACCGAAATCTAGGATCAGTCTGGGTTTCCTCCTCCTATCACAAGGGATTTAATCTCTCTCTCGTGGCTTATCTGATTTTTTGTTGTGTTATTCATTTCTTATTGGGTAACTGGAAAATGATTTCATCATGCATAAATGCCATTCATTTTGTACTACTCTACAAAACATGTCATGCTTTAATTTTCAGTTGTCTTGGTTTGGGGTTGCAGACAGAGTGTGTGTCATGGCTACATAAACAGTTACAACATACACCGTGTGCACCTCAGCCTGACTACTCCAAAATGGACAGAACAGGTGGTGATTTTCTTATACAAAACGTGATAGTCAATTCTTTCACTTATTCCTGCCAAAATGTCTATGATCACAGAACTCTTCTGATTCCCACTTCAATACCAATTCATATGTTGTAATATTTGTTTTGAAATTATATATACTGGGCCAAGCAGGGAAGCTCATACCTGTAATCCCAGCACTTTGGTTTTTGTTTTTGTTTTTTTTTTTTTTGAGATGGAGTCTCACTGTGTCACCCAGGCCGGAGTGCAGTGGCCGGATCTCAGCTCACTGCAAGCTCCGCCTCCCGGGTTCACACCATTCTCCTGCCTCAGTCTCCCGAGTAGCTGGGACTACAGGCGCCGCCACCACGCCCGGCTAATTTT